AATATATTTTTACAAAATCGAAAAGAAATCATATAGATACACACATATACAGAAAATATATATTATATATATATTTATATATAATATATATATAATATATAATATACATATATATATATATATATTATATAATATATATTTATATATAATATATATAATATATAATATAAATATATATATTATATAATGATATTATATATGATACAATATTAGATAGCACATTATAATATGATATGAAGAAACAAGAAGTTCCGAAATGTGAACGGCACTGATAATAAATACATGTTGTTTTCCCTTTTTTAGAAGTATTCCCCTTCACCTCATGATATTTCTCGAATATATATCGACCTTATTTGAGTGCACGCGTATTCAAAAAACTCAAATCCAGTTTTCTTGAGGAGCAAGTTTTTATATAAGTTTTTTTGTATCTTTTTACACAGAAACAAACATTTTGAATCATATTGTCATTTTTCCGATATTATAAATAACAAATGCATGTATAAAAACAAAATTCAATATATCTTCTTTTTTTATGTTATTAAATTAAAAAATATAAGCTTTTTTAATAATAGTATTAGTTTTTCTTAGTACATCCGTGAGATGCTTAGATGTTTCAAAACCAAATATATCTAATGGTTCTCGAGACATTGTTGCTATTCTGAAATTATAGAAAAAAAAAAGAAGTGTAATATAATTCATGTTAAATATTTAAATGAGTAATAAGTTTATCTATTACCTTCCTCCAGATATAGCATATAAAAATTTCCAATAGGAAGATCTTAAAAGATGTGGTTCAAAAATTGCTACATGGAAGAGTACTGCTGTACTAAAACAATATAAAAAGATCACGAACCACTTTATTTCAGGTACTACCTTTTTTTCCACAAGATCATTCCATAATAACTAAATAAAAAAGGATATAATATAAAATATAAATTTTTATAAGAAAATATTAAACTGCAAAATTAGAAAATTAGTTTCAAAAATACCTGCAATGCTTTCCACATAAAATATAAAGCTATTGTATTACTACTATAAATCATAAATGTTAAACCGCCAATAAGTCCAGCAGGTATTGCATAATAAGAAGAATCTTTTTTAAAAAATCTTCTTAATAAACAGGATATTAGCTAAAATATATTTGAAATTATTATAAAACTATAAATTAAACAAAATTGATGTTTTGTAATAAAATATAATAATAATAATAATAATAATAATAATAATAATAATAATACCCTATAAAGTCCAGTAAAACCACCTAAAAACATAGGTAAATTTAAATTGCCTTTTCTAAAAATTATTGCTCTTGTTAAAAATGGTTTTGTAATTAATTTTCTAGTACCAAAAAACAAATTAATCACTAATTGGGCACTTAGAGCATAACTAAATACTTGTATACTACCCTATAAATGGAAATAAGCATCAATAATATGCATTTCAAGTCATTTATATAATTTTTGTTATTCATTTATTTATATGCACATATATACCTTTAATATATATACATATATACCTTTAATATGTAATGAACACAACTAAAAGGATGTGAACATGATATATGTTTTCCTTTAAATTGTTTTAATCTTTCTATGATTTTCTTGTATATTTCAAGTGATTTTATAAATATATTTTTTTTACAGGATGTTTTATTTAAAACATGTTGTTTTATTAAATTTCCATTATTCTCTTCATTAGTAGAATTATTTTGTATTTCGTAATTTAAATTTTCTTTTTTAAGATATTCATTCCCTTCATATTTTCCAACAATAATTCTAATGAAAATTTTCTAATTAATTAGAAATTGTTTGTAATATTAATAAATAAAAATAAATTAAATAAATACCTAAATATTTTATATAAAGAAACTTGTTTATTTGGTTTAGAACGATAGAAATAAAGTAACAATGCTATTGATATAGCAAAAATATATGTTCCACCATGTGAAATAGGAGAATAATATCCTCTTTCTACTCCCATTTTAAATAATGTTTCTGTTGCCTGATAAAGAATATTATAATTAATTATGTAATAAAAAAATTAATATACAACTAAGAAATATATATTGAAATATAAATATATATAAATATATATAATAAATATATATTGAAATTATATTTTTATAGATTCATATAAATTTTTATATAGAAATTCTATTTTCTATTATGTTAACAAGAAATTAGCAAAATTAATTTACTCACAACATTAGATACATATAAACTTAATAAAGAACGCCTTGATGGTCGCTCAATAATAATAGCTGACAAACTAGATAAAAAAGATGGAAGAAATGATACAGTCAAAAGACTGAATTTTCCAAGTATACGTCTGAAATATATAGTTTTTATATAAATATAATAATATAAAGTAATAAAAAAATATTCTTAAATTAAATAATGAAGAATAACAAATTCAATTCAAAGATTTTATTTCAAATTATTTTAATTTTAATATATAATAAATTCTTTTTATACTTTTATTTAACAAAAACTTTTAATTATATATGATTATGAATAAAATTACAAATTCATTTGTGCAAACCTTAGAGAACAAATAAACACAGAATATGAGAAAGCACTCCATGAGAGAAAAGCAGTTGATTGCAAAAGACCTAATATTGTTTTTTTAATGTCTGCTTTAGATGGTACTTCCCTTTCATTAAAAGAGCAACCTAAAATAAATATCGAAGAAAATAGAAATCGTACATCGCTAACATCGTTAGTTTGAAAAATTGAAAGAACTTGTAATTTGTAATATTTTTTCTTTTTGCTTGAAATAATTATACAACTTGGAAGTTTAAAAATTATTATTCATCAGCTAATACAAACAAATCTACCAATAAATATCTCTCGAGAAGATGAAATGCTATTTACCGTTGTTTATATAAGTATTATAATTCAACCAATTGTGATTTACACGTGAAGAAGTTGCAGTTTAAACACATTATTTTTTTTTATAGTAACAATTATTACAATTTTTCATAAGAAAAATATGAATAAAAATATGTTATATTTAAGATTTTCTTATAGTTTATATCTCAATGATATAATACGATTATTACATTAGAAACAAGATATAAAAAAATTTAGACAAAATTAAAAGAAAAAATTGATAAACATACTATGTAAACTGTAGAATATATCTTTAGACATTCTTGAAGAGCATCTATACCAAGACCGGCTGCGGCTATTAAACAGGAATCTCTCCAATAATGTGAGTATTCCTTACAGGATATATCGATGCATTTGCTTAGTTGAGAAGGCATTCTTTGATAACTAAAAATTTCGCAGTTGAATCCAATGTCTGGTTACAAAATGTCAATTTGCAATGAGGAATATTGCACAAAACTAAAGATAACACTTTTGTTGACACACAGTTATAATTATTTTGATAATGTCAAATACTTTATTGAATTCATTTTTTTTAATTATTATATAGTTTGAATTACGCAGCTAAACATGAATTGATAGAATTATGATTGATTAAAAAAGTCTATATAATAGTTGAAAATATTTATCAAGAATTAAATAAACTTGTTTCTGATTTTAAATTTTAGTTTCTTAAAGCGGTGTATCGTAATGCGTTTTGTAGATCAAAAATATTCACAGTAACACTTAAATCAATGCGTGCGGACTCGTCGACCGCTCGTCACTGACTGAACAAGCAGTATAAAGTCAACTCATTTTCTAACGACCTTTTACGTTACTATTATAATTTAAATATTTAAATATATTTCAATATTTAAATATATTTCATTAGATTAATATTAGTATTAAAGTAAAAAAATTATTTTATTTTATCTTATTGATTTATGTTAATTTATTTTATTATTTTTTTTCGTAGATAAAAAAAAATACATAAAATATATATATATATTTCTATGTAAGATAAATGTATTATTTGTTATAATTTTTTAATTTATATCAAAAATTCATTTTATACATTTTCAATAAATAAATATTGATGATTTTTTTTAAATGCATTATATTAAAATTTATATATTACAATTTATAATAACTTTCTAATTCTATTTCCGGTTTAGTATTACTATAAACCTACTTTATGTGAAAAGATATCTGACTAAAATTAGTAATATACGTTAGAAATGTAATATATAAATATCGAGAATAATTTTTTTGAAAAATTTATGATATAAATTTTAAAATTTTTTATATTTATATATAAATATATTAATATTTTATAATATTATAATAATAAAATTTTATACATTTTGAAATTTTATATATCATTATATATCAAATTATATATCATTATTAAATTTTTCATATAAAATATTTGAATAGAATATTTGAAAATATAAAAATTAACTATAAGAAACTATAAAAATTATGTTATTAAAATATTTTATGAAATACTTTTTAACAAAATTAAAAATTTTCTAACAAATATAGAACAATGTAGTAGAAATTCTTGTGATAAAAAAGCGAAAGAAGTAAAAGTTCTTGTGAAACAAAATATTATAAAAAACAAATGTAAATATGCGCAACATAAATGTGTGAAATATACTGAAGTAGTATTTTATTAGAAGTTTTTTTATTAGAAGTTCAAGCGATCTTTTTTTATGTTGTTGCTCTGTTGGTCATTGATGATTAAAAAAAAAATTTTGATGAGTAATAAACTATGAGTGTAGTTTTATATTAAGATCTGGAAATAATCATAAAAATATATGAAATATTATAGTATATTAAAAGCTATATGTATAAGCATATTAAAATCTTTTATTATTGAATCACGATTTGTAATATAATGCTAGATAAATTTATTAGAAAAATTATAATGATCAGAACAGAAAATTAGAATTACATTTTTAATTATGTACAAAGTAATATTTAAGTTGAAAAAGATGTATTTGTTTATTTCTATTTTATATAAAAAAAAAAAAATCGATTTCATAATGTGATATATATATTATACCACACTCGCGCATGATCGCATTACTACTGACATCTATGTACTGTTTCTGGAACGTCTTTTTAGAGAATTTTATAGCTTACAAATCGCGGGTTACATTCGTTTTGTCATATTCAATATTTATACTTAGCATTTACTTAAGAGAAATCTTCGTTAATTACAATCTATTGATAATTTATTGATTCGTTAAAGATATTTCTGATAATTAATAAGTCGAATTTATATATCATATTCGTTATTACATTATGAGGAAATGAATATCAATATACATATAATTATATAAAATTTAACATTAAAATTTATCAGAACATCAATTCGTTATAATAGAAATTTTTAAGCAGAATTCAATTTAAGGATAGTGCAAAGATACCTGGTTGTAGATAATTCGAGATCCTATACGTTAGACTTGGAAAGACACTGTATCAGATAAGGGGTGATACAATTATGTTTGAATTGTGATTGGTCACTACGACTGTAGTTTTCCGTATCTGATGAACAATAATTGTTACTCGTATTTCAGTTCTACATGGTGATCCATGTTGGTATATAAGGCAGGGAAGAGACAGTATATGTGTTAAATATAGTACACAATTACGAAGAGAACAATCGTTTTGCCGATTGCAGTGTGACATCATTGCATCATAAGATTGTATATAAAGAGACATTTTCTGCAGTATGTAAATCATGTAAGTTTTACTATTTATTTACGTAACTTTATAAATTATTAAATACACATAAAAAAAAATTTTAAATCATTTGTTGTTTATGAATGATATCTAATAGATATATGTGTAATTATATCAGTTACGTGATTTCTATCACGTAGGCATTTTTTAGCATTATATTTTTCGTAACCAATCAGTTTAACTATATGTTTATATTCCTTTACTATATTCTCTTCTACTCTTATAATGTCATACATGTTTTATGTGTTTGGTAATCATTGAAAAATATACAATATATATATATATATATAT